TGACCCAAACCGAATTCATACTAAATTCAGCTTTGCCATCACAGTAATACAATTGTAATTGAATTAATGTTGCACAAAATTACAGTTTTTACAGTATTTTTGATCAAATAAATGCAGCCTTAGTCAAGGCATGTCAAAAATGATTTGATATGCTATCCCCAAAAAAGGGCTCATTTTTGACATTTGATTGTGAGTAGCCCTTATAGCGAGAGAAATGAACGGCCATTTGTGATCACTCTATTATTGACAAACCAATGCAGGAACATGAAAAAAGGCACAGAACAAGATTCATCTGTCTAAACTGATTGCAAAACATTATATCTGTTTTAGTCTTCACTATGATCTTTGGTTCCACATACAAATTTGAACCCCATGTTTGCTCCATTAAAGAGATAGCTCTAAAACATTCTGTCACTTCGATGAAAGAATGACACTTCTTTCTTCTGTGGAACACAAAAGAAGACAGTTTGATGCTGACTCTGAGCCATAACCACCATAGACACTGAGGGGGACAAGTTCCCCCCAATAAATGGCCAAATTGCGAATTCCAGCAGGATGGTTTAGTTTTAGCGGCAAAAGACGCAAGTAAACATTTAATATCTGACAGCTGTTTTACATCAGGGACCGATAGAAATATCTAGTGATGCAAACTACTCAACTCTTCAATAACATTTTGCCACTTTGAATTGAAAATATGCTACAATTTACATGAGTCATTTCATAACTGAATCTATTTGACGAGACAAAAAAAAATGTTTTGCGTTTTTGACATAAGAGAGAATGTGTGCACAATTAAGTCTATAACTTATTTTACAAACCATTCTTATTTCTTTATTTCCTTAAATCACTTTTAATCCTCTAATTATTTATTTTCTTTAAATAAGAAGCCCCCCCCCCCCAACACCAACATCATTGATTTGGACATGAGGGTGAGTAAATAATGACAGAATTTTAATTTTTGGAAAAACTATCCCTTTAAGTTTCCCTACGGTTCATTAATGTATTAATCCAACAATGTCTGCCGTTCTCTGTCTTCATTGCTCCAGCTCCTCACTGATCAGGTGGCACAACTCTCGCTCTACAGTGACAGTATGATCATTCTTCTTCTCTCATGACTGCTTTCTTTATTGATTTATGGAAAAGACCCGTTTTAATTCAAGCATTTCCAGGCGAATGTATTCCAGTGGTTATTTGGTATGAATGTCTCATGATTAATGGCACAACAAACAAGTTTCTTTTGCCACAGCACTGATAGACGAAGAAAGAGCCATTTGGCCACCCATGAAGTGGTTAGATAGATGTCTACTAAGTCTTCTACATACCGTCTTTACCTATGGCCATTTAAAGTTGTATTTAAAATATTTTATACTTTTTATAATTTTATAATTGTATAATCCCTATACACTAGGAGTGTATAGGGATAGTTCACCAAACAATGAAAATGATGTCATAATTTACTCGTGTTGTTCCAAACCTGTATGTATTTCTTTTTTCTGTGTAACAGGAGAGAAGAAATTTTGAATTTTTTTTTCAGTGTGGTTTTGGACTCCATTGACTTTCATTGGAAGCACAAAAACAGAAGAATGAAAGTCATACAGGTTTGGAACAATGTGAAGGTGAGTAAATGATGACAGAGTGTTTATTGTTGGGTAAACATCCATTTCCAACTGTGGAGAGCCTAATAAGCTTTATAACATCCACTAATTGGCCTGCCTACTGGCAACCATTGTACAATTCAGTACAATTCTGCCTGACCCTTTCGGCTACTCTTTCACTAAACAGGGTATGTCTTTCCTCCTTCACATGGCTGATTTCCCCCCTTCCTTTTTCTTGTGAGCCCACAGATCCCACAGCTCAAGAGGATCTGTTACAAAAGCTTCAGGGTGTGGCATCAAATAAAGAGGAGGAAAAGTGCCTGCACAGCATACTGCATACATGCAGACGCATTCTGAACAAAGACTCAGTTCTGACAATACCAGTCATCTAAGAGGCATCCAGCCTCTCATAAACATGACGTAAAACCTGCATAATTATCCGACCCGTTTGACTGCTATTACCTCAATGATGCATCTTTATGGATAATATAAGTTTGTCAAAGTTTAAAACGCTAAGATGGAGAGTGAACTGTCTTGCTCAGCAATTATTAGACGCTTAATGCGGCCATTCATATTGATCTCAGTTATGTTTCTGACAGGAAGTGTAACCTTAACACATTTACTGAAACACTGGCGTTTTTGCATTAGAGCCCTGGACAGCTACAATTAGATGACCAGGCATTTCTGTTAGTCAGGACTATGAAAAGAGTTTGAGAAAGCTGATACTCTGTTGACTACAGTACATGTTTCGGTCTCTTTGCTTAGCATTATGTTTCTCATAAGTACATTTTGTACTGACATGACTGGTTCAATGCTGTGCACCAGACACATTCACAAGTCTATGCCACAGAGTCTAAGTGAAGTCTTAAATGATAAAGTCTTAAAAGTCAAGTTTTTCATGTTGACACTGTAAAAAATAGCTGCCTTCAATTTTTAAGCACAAATAAACTTGGATGTTTAAGTCATTTACTGATTGACTTAAAATAATTAGTTGAATCTTGTATAAATACGTAGAAAATTCCTTAACTGATTTCGATGTTAAAGCAATGTAAAAACATATGTTTTCATAACTTATTGATCATATTCTTATTTTTACAGTGCATCTCGAAGTTAGAAGAAAAAAGTAGTAGTAATCACAAAATGCTTCCTGTATCTCACTTATTCTAAATGGCTAAATGTAAATATAATCACTTTCAGTCAAGTCTAGTTCGTTTTTTATAAGTCTAAATCGAGTCTGAGGACAGTTTATGTGTAACTTAAGGCTGGTTCACACTGCCCCAACAAACACTAACATTTCAACCAACAGTACAACATGTTCCTGGATCAACATCTTTGTTGATCCTGGAACAACATTCCAATCAACCAACAAAAAAAGGAACACTCTGACGTTTTCTTCTGTATTTACAGTATGTAAACATAACCGTCATGCTCATACTGACTGACAACACAAACAGGTTAATACACTGATCGAACAAAACCCAACAACCAATTGAAATTTGGTGCTTGTTGGCACTGTGTAAAACGAGGCTCAGACACGAGTATCCATTTCTGCTTTGAAAAGCCATAAAACGCCCACACAATGTGTTGGAAAGAGATGTCCCACTATGAGTAAGAGATTAGGGTCATTTATTATTGGGGTCCTGCGTGTGGGCTGATTCATTGGTTCATGACCATAAATATAAAAATTATTTACTCGCAAGACACACGTTGCACACCATCCAACCAGAGTTTTTTTTTTTTTTTTTGGTGGGGAGGGGGGTTGCATATTAGGCACTGTACAAGTAATTATACAAGTAACTACATTTCTCTCCACATTATTCTGTTACAATGGGTCTGGTACCATTCTTTGTTGATGCAGTGGAGGATGCAGAGTTCTCTACAGATTCATTAGGCCTGTATAACCCAGACATTGCATCACCTCAAGAACAGGAATGTCTCTCCATCTGGGCCATGTAGAAATCTGGCACAGCAGCTCTTGAGTCTCTCAACCAAATCAGTTCTTATTGAAGCTGCACTGGCAGCAGCCATAAACATCCTGCTCACTCCTGTATAGACCAGCTGTGAATTATTACTAGGTGTTGCTGGACGTGCCATTAACCGGTGCACCTTTTTCATATTCTTCTGGTGCACATTTTTTTTCTTCTTCATGGGATTGCTTTAGAAATGAGAGGAATAAGTAAAGAGACTCGTTATGAGATTAATATTCATTTGCATTTTGCATTCAAATATAAATAATTCAAATGAATGTCTCTCTCTCTGGGGATGTACAACACCTAGTCAGCTGCCACAAATGCACAAGCAGTCAACACACATACAAAACAAAAGCAAGCCTGTGATGTGCATTTCGTAATAATGCTCTAATAGTACCAGACTGATGATTAAAGAATCAACAGCTGTTGAAACCATTAAATTTAAGCTTATTTTTATATTTAAGCATTGATTAGCGCTTCAGGAAAGAACAAGGCTGCAATTTCAGAAGCTGCATTTCTCGTTTGGCTTTATTGATTTGAAGTGGAATGAAAGAAAAATTGGCGTCTCTCTACATCCCAGGTACTTTCATGTGATGCCATGTAATTGAGTTTTATATATATATATATATATATATACTCAAATTAACAATTTACTCAATGCGGAAAATCATGCATTTTCACAGGTTTTCTTATGCAATAGTTGTTTGTTTTAATGCATATAGTATTTCACTCAGCATGGTGACATAATGTCAAACGCTATTGAAATAAATTGCTAGTCGAGTCTTAAAATGGGTGCGGAGTATTGTGTCCCGCATGGAGGTGCTGTTTACGCAGTGTCACCAATGAGTTTCAATGATGGTTAGAATGCTGCCCATGTAGGCAGTTGGCAACTGGGCAGCTCACTAGGTTTTGGAACAGACCTACAGTCTGTCACCATGGAGATTTACTGCAAAACTTCTGCAGTCAAACAGCTCAGATTGAGAGATGCAGTCAGTTATCTTCAACACCAGCAGATCTCACAGTAGTTGAACAGGGGAGGAACAGCTCCATCTACAGTGCATAACTATACCTTCTCCATCCAGCAGCACTTGTTCTGTTAGTCCTCTATATAGGAATGTATGCGGCACTGACTCTTTTCCAAGGACATCACTGAAATATGTTCACTCAAATCTCTAAAATCCATTACAAAGCACACATTCATAAATGACAGATGCAGGCAGGTCATTCATAAGCCACTACGCATTTAAATTAATTCATTTGGCAGACACCTTTATCCATAGGACATACACATAGGCCTATACCTTATGCATTAATTAAGCACCTTATGCATATGTTTAGAATCAACAGATAAAACCAAAAGCTGGCAATTGATTTGTAGGCTACGCAGTGTGAACTGACAGATAAGTGTGAGGTGGAGATATAACATTAGACTTACCTGATATGATGGGAGCCAGACGAAAAATATCAGACAGACGGCTGTTTACTGGCTCATATGGCGAGTCCTCCAGCAAATCATTGGCTGGAAGATAAACCATCAAAGTAAGCTAATGTAGTAGAAATAATAATTTAGCAAGTAAGAATTCAAACTGTTTACATGCACCATTCTTAGAACCAGAAGTTTTAACTTTATCCATGTTAAACGCATGGTTATAACAGCAGCATTTTAAATGCATTTTAGACTAAAAAAGGGGGGTCTATAGAGCATGAACATTTTTCATTCTGTTCAACTGTGGTGTTACGCATGGATTTGCTCACCCTGTAAACTCTGGTATATACTCCAGAAGATGCGCAGACAGTTCTTCTCTTTCTTCATTCCTCTCCTACACTTGCAGTCGTACAGAGGACTCTGTTTCATAGACTCTATGGCGTTCCGACACTCGTCCTGCGCCTCGGGTTCAGCCAGCATGCTGAAGTTACTGGCTCTCCCGGCCACACACTGTCTCATGGTTCGGTACTTAGTGCTGCAGATGTATTTCGCCAAACACTGTTCATGAGCCCTAACGCAGTCCACTCGAACCGAACGAGACTGTGCGATCGCATCTGCCTTTGAGAAGAGCACTAGATCTGTGCAGGGAAAAGACAAAGTTACAAATGTGAATGAGACAGAATGGCAAAACTGTCACAGTTGGCTTTTACTACGATTTTCTAATGTTCATAATCATGGTAATAGCACTCACCTAGTTAGTGAACCCCATTTATACAAATAGAGACAACTTATATGTTTGCTATGTAAAAGACAAAACACTTTTTTTTATAAAACAGATAGATAAATCTATCTGTTTCCTACAAGGTTTAGAAATACTAATACTAATAGGTTATTATAATACTCATCATTATTAAACAAAAAATATGCATGCATCTGAATTACAATATTATCTATATTTGTTATAGTTTTTGCTGATTTAAACGCAAACAAACATTGGAACACATGCATCGCAACTTACCAAGGACAGGCAACATTATCCAAAAAGTTACGAATATCATCGTCGCTTTATTCAGATCCATTCAGAGAGCAGGGAAACTTGTTAAATACGAAATAGAAGAATTTCCACAGTAAATCCATTGCGCGCCAGCTGCGCACTGGTGCAAGTGGTGAGGAACAAGTGATCAGACATCATACACATCCGGACAGACTCCGACAAGCGCTCAGTGCTGCTCTGCTGGACACACCCCGCGACAAGAGAATAAAAAACAGTACTAAGAGGTAACATATAACGATAAAACACTAATATCGTGGCATTGCGCTATATATTTATCCCTTGATATCTTCTTTATCATATATTCAGCAATCGATCAATTTCTTAAACGTTTTCTTATAAAAATGCACATAAAATGAACATTCCAATATCAGTAAAAGTTCATGTCAGTCAACATTTAATGTCAAATATGAGTGCTGTTGCGCGCTCAGTTGACCGGGGACGATATGCGGGTCGAAGTACGCGCACTCTGTGAGAAGACACTGCGCATGTGCTCATATCTCTGGAGAAGGTCGTCCTTTTGGCTCAGTTGGACAGTGAATTCGCTGATTAGGCACCATTAAGCACTTTACTTAATAAGAATTATACAAAGACTGTCCAAGCAGAAATGGAATCCACTTTGCGATCCATATCTGACACCCTGCGTGAGAAATTTTCACTGTTGACGTTGTTTTTTCCCCTTGCAACAATTTATGTCCGTTTTTTTTTTGGGACACTCTTGACGTTATTCCTATGAATTAGACATTGTAAACTAAATACTAACAATTTTTGTTCAAATATTTTTATGAATAGGCCTAATAAAAAATAATGACAGTATATAGCCTAGTTTTTTTTTTTTTTTTTTTCATTGTACAGACCGGCTGTTGCTGTGGTTACATCAGGGGAAAGCGTCTAGGGCACTCTAATCAGAATAAATACACTCTGTAAAAAGAACACACACTTTTAAGACCGCCAACATCCTCCTCAGTTTTGCGTAATATAGGCTACTGCGTGACGTCATCCAACACTAGTAAGAGTTTGCTTACTGTTCGCATCCACATTTAGTCTGCCACCTGTAACTCTTTCCTTTTATTCATTTAAGTGTCTCATATGATCATAAAACCCTTTATGACGTTTCTTGATTGTATGGAGAGCATGAGCGCCACCTGTTTACTAAAGACAAGCATGACAGTTGCCCTTTCAAATCAATGAAGCAGAATATAAATGAATACATTTTCACTCGTTATCATTTTGCATATAGAATCCATTTTAATGTTTTATTATTTTTATAATAATATTTGTTTATAATGGCCTATTTGTTAAATTAATTTCCTCAAAAACACTGTTTTAATTGACTACATAAAGAAATCATGTAACATAGTAATTTATGAATCAATAAACAATCAAAACCAAGCATACATTTCCGGACATACTACATCTGCCATGTTGCCATGGTGTCTTCATGCAGTGTTTTGTCCATAAACATTGATTCATGGTGCCTTTGTGCATATCATATACCAATTGCTCCTCACTTGTTAACAAGCTTCATTCCACTGAAATCAAACCAAAATCAATTTCCTCTGTTTAATGAAACTTTCAACAAAAATGAAGAATTAATTGCACAAACCAAAATCATTAGCTAGCAATTGCTTGACATGTTATAAACCAGTCAGACTAATGAGATTGTATAGGCATACTGAACTGGTTTAGAAACTCGATACGTGATCAATACTCACCTTTAGGTTGGGTCCGAAAGACTAACCATCTAGGAAATGAGCTCTGCTGGATTTATTGTCAGTTAATCAAAGACATTGCTGGATACCAATAGATAATGTGAATTACAGCATTGCACAAATGATGCAACATTGATCCAGCCATGATTCTGCCGACAATTAACTTTGTATGAAACCTAACAATAAATCCATCCGAGAGACAGAATACTAAAACATTTCCTGGATGGTCTAATTGATTTTTACTTTCCATTACCTTCATGTGTGTAACTATAAGACTGGCAAATAATTAAAGGATAATAAAAATGAATGATTGTTTTGGTAATGATGCCATGTAAATTGGGAGTTTGTAAATAACTTTCTGAGGGCAAAAATGTCAGTTACTGTATATAGGAGATCGATTGCTGTAAAAGAAGAAATGTTTTGTAATGCAAGCATAGCATAAGGGCTCTATGGTGGATTGTTATGAAGATTTCATGTGTGAAGAGCATGGGTTAAACACTTGATGTGTAAAAACACTTGATGTCTAGATTGAGCGGTGATTGTAGTACGGATGGCAGAGGACATGTTTGTCTGTGTATGCACTGTGCTTTTGTCCACATGTGTATTCACATATAAAAAGCAGTCTCATCAAACAGAGTGCTGCAGCGCATCTCCATTTAACTAGTGTTAAAAGGAAAATCAATGGGAGATTTGTGGCAGGAAGTATAGGCTATATTCTCTGTGGCCTTTTCAGTCATTTAGAGGGGGAGAGGTTTGTTCGGTTTCTACCCCACAAATCTTAACCCTCATTGGTTTGAGCCTGTAAGAACGGGGATAGCTGTAAAACTCAACTCCCAAGAATAATTCTTAAAAATGGCTCTCATTCATCACACTTAGAAACACACACAGTATGGGGGTAAGCAATATTCAGGGTCAATCGATTGAGAGTAATTTGATCCGTGTCATCTGCACAGCTAATTGATTGGCCATTTCAAAAGCTATATTGGTGTGTAAGCGCATCCGGTCCGTGTAGAAGCCATTACGTGGTTGATCCCCATTATAATATATTAATTAGTAGAGAAAAGAAACAGCATTCATTTTCCCCTTCGGATGGCAAATGTGTTCTGTGCAAACATTTGTCTTTGAACAGCTATAGGATGTAATTAAGTCACGTTTGAGGAACAGTAATTGCCGACTTTGATGGTTCCTTTTGATTACTTGATCAAAGAAAAGAAAATTGCCTCAGTTTCAGCCTGTCAGCTAATAGACTTCCACTGAAGGCCTTTGGAAACTGCTGAGATCACTGTGGCGGGTTTGATTCAGAGCACAAGGTGGACCAAAACCGACTGAAAATGACCAAGGAAGGACTCCAATGCTGTTCAGAAAGAATTGCTTCTTTTGAGTTTTTTCCCCCGTCTTTGTTCCCTTTCAAAACCCGATTGAAATAATTTCTTGTTTAATAGCATTCAACACGTTTTATTTAAGAGTAGGCTACTCCTCTCCCAATTGAACACTGACCAAAATAAAATAATTACATGTCTCATTTACAAACTCTGGGCACTACTGACATTTCTTACAAGTGGCTTCCTTCAATTCTCTCTCTTAATGTGGCTGAGTAAGTGAAGTGCTGATCATTTTTTTTGGACAATTGCCCCTCTTGTCGCTTCCTCAATTTGATCTTAGTATAGTTTCTAGATCCCCCCTGTATAATCTGTATAAACTTCTCCAGCTTTTGTCTCCTACCAACTTCATCTCAAGTTCCAGCATCCGGGACTCATGACAGTAGAACAGATCTGATATGATTTATTGTATGACGAACAATAAATATGAAGTTTCAATTAGACTTTGCAACACGGCAGATAAATAATTACTCACTCACTCACTCACTCACTCACTCACTCACTCACTCACTCACTCACTCACTCACTCACTCACTCACTCACTCACTCACTCACTCACTCACTCACTCACTCACTCACTCACTCACTCACTCACTCACTCACTCACTCACTCACCCTAAACCTACCCATCACAGAAAACCCAACATATGCGTGTGTTTGTGTGTCTTTCTGAAGGCACTGAATTAAATAACCTTAATTTTATTGCTTTCTTCTCTTTTACTTTAAATAAACCGTTTATAAAAATCAATGGAATATGGCATATAATAGTCAGAAACTAAAATGTGCTGAAATATATTGATATTTCTGCTTATTTATCAGAACTCCTTATGTATTACCCACAATCACAGTGGGTAATACAGTTTCCACAGGAAATAGGAGTCGCGTTCCCTCTAGTGGTCTAACATTACAACAACACAAAATCAAGTTTGAATGATGACATAGATAAAAAAAAAGAAATTATTAAAAAAGTAAAAAGAGATCTACTTGCTGAATGCAAACAAATCTATTCAAATAAATAAACAATGAATACAAATTAAAATTATATATATATATTATTCTCTTCTCAGTGAATGGGATGTTCAATCAGCTTGCCAGTAGATGGCAATGTTGTACAGTTTGTCACATATCACACATGACGTTGCAAACTCATCTCTGCAAAAACTTGCTGTCTGTGCACCATTCTGAAGATGCCCAGATTTATTACACATTTGGAGCATAATTTAAATAGTCAGCACAGCAGTCAATGCTCAGAAGGTTATTTGTATTTCAAGGGAATTCATTTACTAGGTATATTAAAAAAAACAGAAAATAATGTGAATAAAAATATGGATTAAGATCTTCCCCAAATACACTGATTTGTTGTTGTGGTGTTGTTACATACTATATAGATGTACTGATTCTGAACATATCGTAGTACTGTGGCTGTACCATGGTATCATAATACTGAATTGGCATACACCATAGGACTATCATGTTATACACTGTATACTCATTGTGCATGTCTAAAACATGGTATTATCATTGTACTATGTCTAAAAACAGTAATACCATGATACGTTTTCCTTTTCATAGTGCAGTTTGTGAACAGGTCAGACAGTCTGAGACATCTGAGAAAATGTGATTCCTCTGTCTAGTTTCATTGCTTTTGCTTTCGTTCTTGACAAAATCCAGGATTAAGTCACAGCTTGAGTGGCACAAGCCCTGAGTTTTGAAACCAGCTTTAAGAGGAGTTAAAGGCACTGCAAAGGTCAGTAAAGATCCATCCTAACATATGTATTTAGCTCATCTGACCACTGAAAAATATGCTGTTTGCAATCTAGCCTGGGTCCAGCTAAACTGGGATAGTGAGCTGTTCAGAGAAATCCCCAGGCTTCACAAGCTCTACATAGCAATGAGTTCCACTGGACGGCGTTGCCCTTGTTTTCTTGGAAAGTGACACAAATGCATATAATGCAAACTGCTACTGACAGTGAGAGTCTGTGAAGAGTTTTTGGCACCATTCTAATTATTTATCACTGACATTTCTGCCCCACTTTATAGAACAACAGTTGATTGACATTGCGTGTTTTAATTGCCTCCTTATCCTCTACAAGTTATTCTGCTCCAGGCTGTGTGAACAAGAAGGGTGAAATCTGAAATC